GGGGGGGGGCAGGAGAGCATCAGAGACCCGCGATAAGATGCTGATGCTTACGGGACGCTCAGCACGTCGGTTTCGATGCCGGACATTTGGGTAAAAGGCAGCCTCCATTAAACACACATCACAAGACGGCGACAGTTACAGATCAGCGTCACTGAACATCAACCTCCTCTGTTAACAATATCATCCATGTCCCCATGTTGGGAAGAATAACTTAATTCTGTTACTATTACCTTCTAAATGATACGGACTGCACTGGTGTTTATCTGAACTGCGGCCCGTTTAAGGCATAAGTCCCATACAAACATGGTAAAAGCTAAGGTAATGCAAGCCATCCCTTTGGGAATTCGGTCCTCATAGTGCATTCGGTTCTCATAGTGCATTCGGTTCTCTGTCGCATCGGAGCACCTTAGCATCATTGGCAGCTCGTGTCAGGAAACGGGAGTTCTACTTGTCGCCACGGCTACGGTCACTCGGCGACACCGCTAAACAGGCAAAGCAGTAGGACCGGTACAGCCGGAACACTAATCGAAGGGTCATCCGTGGCTCGGACGGCACTAATCACACATGGCAGCCACGGTGAGGGCGGGAAGGACAGGTACTGAAGGAGAGAGGTTCTGTAGAGCCAGAGAGTTCTGGCACTGGGAGACAGAAGAGGAACTCTTACCCCATCCGGAGGGAAGCAGGCCCAATGGGTCGTTTTCCACCGGGACGCCAGAAGACTGCGAAGAGAGAGAGAAGACATCGCTCTGGTTAGCCGGTTTGAGATTAGTTTTTTCACTTGTGCCCCTGCTGTCTGGCGATTGCAATTCTCCTGCCATTCCCCCCCCCCCCCCCACTGCAGAATAAAAAAGTATTAAAACTTAGAGGATAAAACGATACAGCGGTCAGTGGAGAAGGGAGGACACACACCGGTAAGAGGGAGTAAAAGCGGCTGTGCGGAGCGCCCCATCCTGAGCCCGGGTGCTGCCGCCGCCGCAGACGCGCTCGCTCTGCTTTCCAAAAACTACACGCTTAAAAGAAAAGAAAGTGGCTCGGCCGTTCCAATGAGATCACAGGCTGGCCCAGTGGCTCCGCCCCCCCCCCCCCAGCCCAGCTCGTAAAAAGCCCTCCCCCTCTAAATGTGCTGTGAAAGTAAGCAGGGAGGCGCGATGTCGGGGCAAACTAAGGGAACATTCAACCGCCCCCCCCCCCCCAAAATACCCCTGACAAAAGCACCTTTATTCAGCATGCTCTGACGGCGGCCGGTGCTGTCACAAGCTGAGGTGTATGAGAGCAGCCTCTGTGTGTTTCGGGGGGGGCTGTAAGGTTACCTGTGCTAAACCGATGTTGCGCACTGTGTGCATGTACCGGGTCTGTACTGTGTTTCTGTGCCTGTCCTGTTTTGCACACAAACTCTCCTTCACTCGTGTCGTGTGAGCTTCTCTCTCTCTCACACACGCGCACGCACACATGCACGCACACACGCACACGCACACACACACACACACACGCACACGCACTGAATCCAGAAGGCTAACATATTACCAAACACGCTAACAGAGGTGCCACTGATGTGTCCCAGCAGAGCTGCTAGGGATGAGGGACACACTAGCGGCACAGCAGTGACCCGCCGCATCTCAGACAAACTCCCCCCCCCTTCACACTGTGTCACTCCCCCCACCCAAGCCACCCACCCTCCCAGGCTCATGCAACTAAAAAAGGTTAACAAAAATAATGGAATAAAGGCATGACATCATTCAGCCTGTCTGCCTGTGGGAGGAGCCAGCAGAGAGAGACGCGGGGATGAGCGCGGGCTCAGAGCCGCCCCGCCCCCCCCCCCGCCCCACCCCGGCCCCCACCCCGCCATCCGGATAAGGGGCAGGAGACCCGCAGGCCAAGGCCAGCAGAATGGTGTGCGGCCTAAACATGAGGCTTGGGACAGAACCCCCACCCCTGCCATGCCCTCCACCCCCGAGAGGCCCAGCTTGATACCCTAATAGGCGTCTCAGGGAAAATGGCTGGGGGGGAGGGAGTCTGAGGGAGAAGCGGAAACGGCAGCTAATGACTGTGGCACAGGAGCCTGATGAGGAGCGATTACTGCACAGGACGGGCCATACTGCCCCCCCCCCCCACCTACCCCAACCCCCTCACTGCGTCACACTCAGAGATGGGCCTCGCTCTCTCTCGGTACCAAGAATTAGAATAGCGTTACTTTATAATACAGCATACCTTTTACTCTTATCCTTACTGATTTGTGCAGAACATGTGTTGTCAAGAGGAGAATGGTTCAAATTTCCACCAAATTCATGTTTGTTGTTTGATTATTTTGGTGGTTAGGGGTGAATTCTTAAAGAAAAAACCAAAACAAAAAAAAACCACAAAAATACCCCCACTCCGTGGAGTGGCACTCGACGGCGGCGCCGCGTCTCCAACCTGCCTTAAGCGCCCCCGGTCCATGAGAAGGCGGATTCCATTTCGGGAGAGAGCCTGTTAATGGCTGCCAGGGGTGTGCGGCCCCGAGGAGGGATGAGCTCATCAGGTAATTAGCCGTCACCTAATTAGCCACACGTCTGCAATTATGACAAGCTGTTTACGAGTCCGAGGCCTAAACTCGGAGACTCAGTGTTTTGGGGGGGTGCATTTATAGCACCCTGACGCGTGCAGGGGCCGTTCTGCTTTGGACGTCCGTGGGATATGATGATGCCTGAGACCGGGCTGCTAATCACCGCTCAGACGGACTCGCCAGACGCCTTCCACGAGACGTCCGACCTGGACGGGAGCGGCCCGACAGGCCGATTCCGTGTCAGACAGGATACTGTAATGGATGGGGGGAGATTCTCTCTTTCCCTTTTCCCCGTTTCAGACACCATGTTGTAAGAATGATGCAGTAATTGATGGCCATACACTCTCGTCAAGAGCCTTGAGGCCACTTTGTTGTGAATGGCACTATATAAAAATAAACTCTTCTATACCACTTTATCCTATACAGGGATGTGGGGTCTGGAGCCTATTCCAGAAACAGGAAATAACCCTGGATGGGGGGGGCAGCCCATTGCAGGATGCTTGCAGTCATATCTTTGTGGGGACCACCCATTCATTTCTGTGGGAAAACCCTAATTCCAACAATGATAACCTACCCAGCTCTAACCTTAACCATAAGTAACCAAACAAAACATGACATTTTTCTTTTTCTATTGCAGTTGCAGATGGTGTTTCCCCTTGTGGACACCAAAAAAAATGGTCCCCACAATGTAATGTATACGTCACACACACACGCAAATTAGTAACTCCAATTAGCCTCAGCATGTTTTGGGGCTGTGGGGGGAAACCAGAGTACCTGGAGGAAACCCCACAACGACACGGGGAGAACATGCAAACTGCACCAGGGCAGAGATTGGAACCCTGGCCTCCTGCTGCATTGTGGGACGGGGATCCAGAGGACAGGGACGTTCTTGGTTTCTCACTTGCCAGATACCAGCGTGCGTCTGTAATTTCACACTTTGATAAAAAAAAAAAACACTCACAGAAACTAAGAGTTCCATGCAGAGCAGTGAGGTCATGTGCTGGAAGGTGTACAGGACAGACAGGTACAGGGATCTCGCCCCGCACCCCACCTAGCCCCGCCTCCGCACCCCGCCTAGCCCCGCCTCCGCACCCTGCCCCACCCCGCCCACCCCATGGCGCTACCTGGTAGAGGAACCTCTGGCTGAACTGCTGCATGGCGCCCTGCAGCTGGCTGCGCTGCGACTGCCACTGCTCGTAGCTGCGCACAGACTCGGGCGTGGGTCGCTGCCAGGTCGTGGTGCGAGTGTTGTGGTCCACGTAGTAGAAACGCCCACGCTGGTCCACCCGCTTCTCCCAGCTGGAGCCGGACAAAGAGAGAGAGGAGATGAGGAGAGAATAGTAAGAACACCCAGACAGACAGGAGGCCTCCACCCTTCCCATTCTCTGCCTGACAGCCCTGTCCTCTGCCTGTCTCAGCATCTGCCCGCCAGCCCAACCCCCTCCTCCACCCATCTTGTCTTCCTCCAGCCCACCCCTGTCCTCCACCCATCCCGTTCCCGCACCCACCCAACCCCCCCTCCTCCACCTGGCCGTCCCCCAAACGGCCAAGGCTCGACAGCCATCACCAAGAAAGGCTGCGTCCCTCTCGTCATCCTGCTCCGGCCGCTATTCTCAGAGTCTGACTCACACTAGAGGGAATGTGGGGGTGAAAACAGGCTATTCCCCCGGAAGGGCTCCTGGCGACACACACACACACGCGCACACGCACACACACACACACACACACACACACGACAGACAGGACAGACAAACACCAAAATTTCCTGAAACTTTCTGGTCAACTCCAAGCCATGAAGTAACAGACACACATGGTTTTACCACAATTTGTGTGTGTGGAGGACGGAGATGATGGACGGACAGACATGTAGCTAGAGAAGATGGAATTTCTCACTTTTTTAATGAAGTAAACGAATAAGCAACAATCACTGACTAAAATTTAAGGATTTTACAGATTAATAGGGCAAAGTGAACTAAGGCATTTCTACTGTCCCTGACACATTCCTCCCCCCCCCGCCTATGTCGGGACACACGCACATATGTGTGCACACACGCCACATGCACACAGGAGAATCCTGGGGGGGGGGCGCTGGCTGTGAGGACGGTGCAAAGTGCATGGTGCTGGGCTTAACGCCTGCACGCTAATTCAGGCTTCCCAATTGGGGGGGGGGCTGTGATGTCTCAGCACACTGGTGGGACTCCTCTCCTCATCTGCTGTTTACCCCATACTCTCTGCCAGCCTGTTTTTCAATTTGCCGCCACCCCCCCCAACCCGAAACCGGAGCCTCCTCTCCCCCCATTCGTCTACGATGGCTTTGTGGTGTGCTGCTAACCCCCCCTGGGGTAGCACAGTACAGGACACATGGGTGGGTGGGTGGGGGGAGCCATATTGGGATTTATTCTGAATAATAAAACAGAGAAAGTGATGAAGGAGGGGATGAAGAGGAAGGGCTGAGGTGACTGGAGGTGAAGAGGAAGAGAGAGGGAGGTAAGCGGTAGGGAACTGACCCGGGCGGCAGTGGTCGCTCCCAGGTGGTGCTCTTGGTGTTATGGTCCACGTAGTAAACCCTCCCATTGGGTAAGACCCGCTGCTCCCAGCTGCGGAGAGACAGGAGAGCAGCGGGTCAGAGCAGCAGCTATGGTGCCCCAGCCCAGCCGGGTGCGTGTGTGTGTGTCTCTCTCTCTCACACACACACACACAGACACACACAGACACACACAGACAGACAGACACACAGACACAGACACACAGACACACAGACACAGTTTCACAAGCTGATAATACCAGAGAGGATCCAGCACGTGCACCTGACTGATTTCAGTAACTTTTAGGGTCACACCGGTAACCGTCAGTGCCGAAGTACCAGTCAGAGGGTGTGTACCAGCCAAAAGAGAAGCACATACGTAATGCGTGTGTGTGTGCGGCAGGCATGGCGTGTGCACCCCCGAAACATCACGGGCTGATTTCTGCACATTCGAGCTGTAATTGGTACCAGATTCTGTAGACAAGCGAATGTGGGCAAAATCTCTGCTGCAGCTTATCCCCTATTCTACCTTAATGTCTTACGCTATATTTGTCAGGTGCTTCTAGAGATCAGGGCCAAACAGACCCAAGAGGAGCTGGGGGTCAAGGGTCTTGCTTAGGGGCCCAATGGTGAAGTCACTCTGCTGACCCCGGTATTCGAACCGATGACCTTCTGATCACAGAACTGGCACCCTAACCCCATACCTGAGAATCTCCTTTCTTATACACACACAGACAGCGCACGCACTCTCCCCCCCCCCTTCAGCAGGCAGGAGGCGTGTGGCCGCCTGCTGAGGTGAATGCCTCGCTGTGTGTTATAATGCCTGAGGCCCCAGGCTCTGAAAGCCGCCCTCTTTCCTCTGACACTGAAAAGGTGTTCGGGGGCCGGTCAGAGTTCCACCCAGCTTCCTGCTGCAACAGACGGGCTTTGTGCAAGGGCCCCCTCAGACAGGGACGTGCGTGCACACACACACACACACACACGCGCACACACAGACACACACCACAATCACAGACCTCCAGCGTGGAGCACAGAGGTGTGTGTGTGTGTGTGTGTGTGTGGCGGGGGCATGTTTATTAATCACATGGGGGGAGAAGTCAAGTGAACATCTGCCCCAACATGGCAGCAGAGCCAGGAGTGTCACCACAAGACCGTACCTTTCTAATTTTATCCATTTTCATCAAACAACCTAAAAGTTCAAAAACCATTTCATTTTCAGTTTCCATCCATTTCATCTGTACTGGAGTTTGGTGGTTCAGGTGGGAGTCAGCGGGAAGGTCCGTGTGCACGCGTGTGTGTGCGTGTGTGTGCGTGTGTGCGTCGTGATGAAGACCCAGGCTGCACAAAGGAGCTCTGCAGCCTCCCCAAGATGCCTGCGATCGTCTGCGCGCCTCCTTATTCCAAAACACACAGCGGCCACACGCAACAGCAAACATGCCCATGCAAAATATCAACCCTCTGCAGGGAACACCCCCCCCCCACCCCACGAAAGTCAAAACAGCAGAAAACAGGAAATCCAATGTACGCATTTCTGAATCCAAGAGGGGCCGCACAGTCGCCAGCAGGCGGTCGCGTCAGAGTCCGTCACGACGGGCGTCTCCCTCTCGCCCATGTGCCTTATATCCCGTTCTAATGGCCCCAAAGTGCCTAAACACAGCTTAACAAGAACAGGCTGGCAGACCAATATGACAGGTAACTCTATATGCTAGTAAAGAGCAAAAAAAAAACAGAAAACAGGGAAAGAGAGCAATTACAGAAATTACAGGAGAAAAAGGCCAGTCGGGGCTGAAGGTGAGCTCGCTGTACAGCTCCACTGGGCACACTAACTCCCTACCTGTCATAAATAAGTGTGCAAGTGCTGCTACAGCTGAATGGACACTAATGCCCTTATGTTCAGGGCTCTGTTAAGACAGCCAGGGATGTTACAGCACCGCCGCATATGTACATTTAACAGACAAGGCCGTCCAAGGTGAGGGTCAGAGAGCAGAGTAGAGCCAGGACCCAGAGCAATCAGCATTAAGGGCCTCGTTCAGGGGCCAGACGGTGACATCCATGGGATATGAACTGAAGACCTTCCGATTACAAGCACGGAGGCTTAACCCGCTGCGTCATAAGCCACTGGTTCATTCCTGGGGATTCTGCTTAAATGAGTGACCAATAGGAGGGTGAGGCATTAAGCAGGTGACCGCCAGCCACCCAATCCCACACTGGGGGGGGCAGACACTCACCCAGCAGGCAGAGACTCCATGACGGACTCCCCGGTGCTGTCAGTCTGTTCTGTCGCTGGTGGTGGAGAATCCTCAGGTGGGGGCGGGGCCCCACTCTCTGGGCTGGGAGTGCTGGCAGGAAGGGCTGTGGTCCTGCTCAGGGGGGGTGTGCAGGGGGCCGGCCCGCCATGCTCATTCTCCACCCCATTGGAGGTGGGCTCGCATTTACCTGTGATGGGGGGTGGGGGGGGTAACCTCAGTACAGAATCTGATATTTACCCCCCGCGTTTCGAATGTGTGTTTGCACGCACTCGTTTGAGTATGTGGTTTATGAGGATGTGGCTGGATGGAAATACAGAAATAGGGGATGCAGTGGGTCACTGGTGAGGGATGGCAGCAGTGGGAGGGGTGGGGGGGGGGCATCTTGCCTGCATTGCCTGGACTGCCATTTGCGCTCTTGATCCGGCGCTGCTGACTGCGGGGTCCTGAGCTCGCCTCCCCATTGGTCAAAGAACCCCCCCTGGATTGTCTCTGAGCCCTACAGTGGGATGGGAAGAAAAACAGCACATTTAAGCTCTCAGACCAGGAGCGGACTCATGCACAGCCTAAGTGAGTCTACAGCCTAGGGCCCCACAAATGCCAGGGGCCCTGACCACCAAAACAGGGGCCCCGGCCCACCGCTGGAACAACAGAATGATTACGCCTATTAAATCTAATTAATCAGAATCATTTCTCCATTTCACGCTAGTAGCCTGTGCACATTACGTGTTTGCACGTGAAAAGGTTGGTGTCTTCCTCACAGGAAGACTCCTCAATATCTCCTGCGAGTTGACCCAAAAAAATACTTACTAAATACACTAAAATCATCATATTTCCCCTATAGCACAGACATTCATACAATAACTAAAAAAAATTATTTTACCCCCACAAACATCAGGATGTTTGGACACAAATCAGTGAAAACTTCCAGCTGGAATATTTCAATTTCAGCTTAAAAGGAGGTTAGGGTTTCATCTGCATCTGTAAAGACTGTTTAACGTCACCACCCATTCATCATTTCACCAAAACGACCCCTCGCAAACAGCCAGGCTCAAGTACAAGTAACATCCTCTCAGTATGAAGAGGAGTCAGATACCAGAGACTCCCAAAGATCACACAGGATCTCCCTGTATAAACAACGGCGGCTGACCAATATTGGCCAAGCTTGCTTAGTAAAGACAAAGCCAACATGAACTGAGAACCTCAGTGGATGTGATAATCTAAAGGACATGTGATACGTCTATGTGCCCTTTGTCGGCCTGCTATCCCATGAAGGGTGTCCACGGCCTCCTGGGTTCAGGCAGACACCGACCCTGAGCAAGCAGTTGGAGATGCATGAAATGAATTCATCATCGCTAGCCGGTATTTACTTTAGCCGCATGTTAAACTAATTTTCCATTACACATACAGCTTCCGTCCTCTAACCCAATATGGAATCCGGTTAGAACTTACCTGCTGTGGGGGCTGTTCGTTCCAGGCGGCTCCCCGGTCCACTGGGGGCTCTGCCCGTCAGCCTGAAGCGACTCTAAAGATACAAGAGAGGGTTAATCTGACCATCATGTGACCATGCGATCATGTGACGCCACTGACCCAACACTCATCATTCATTTCAGAGACGACTACCATGAAACGGAACCTCCTGGTCAAACCCATGTGGTACTCTAGGCAAGCTTCACCATTAGCACTCCCATCTGAGACAAAGTGAGACTGGCTTGTTAAGAGGGCGCTCCCTCAAAAGATGGTGCCCCAGGCATCTGCCTGTGTCACCTAACAGGTTTTACCAGCACTGCGTCTAATTTCTACATACCCTGAGGGCACCGTAACATAAGGACAACTGGTCTTGTGAAAACTGCCAAGCGCCTGGGTAGCTGAGGGACACTTCCAGTCTGCAGAGAGTATATTATCGGCTCGTCCTTCTACCTGCCTGGTTTACATCTTCCTGACATGTGGCAGCATCTATGAAAACACGAAAAACCATACAAACGCAACATTCCCGAACGCAGGAACACGCCAAGGGAAGCAATAAAGCATCTCCGACCTACTCCAGTCCTTCGCTTCCAACCTGGATGGCTGACCAATCACGTCAAAGTATAATAGCCCTGGCATCTACATGGGGAAATTAAGCAACTATAGGTTAGCCAACCGCACATTACTCAGCTTTTTGCTTCTTCCAAGTTTCTAGATCATGTTGTGTGATGACGCATTAACCAGAGTGAGCTCCTCTCCTCCGACCTTAATTACAGCGATTGTCTGCCGAATGTAAATAAAAGGTCATTCTTAAAAATACAATCAGGCTTTCAATAAAACTTAGGTAGGATCTAACATGGCATAAAAAAACAGATTAAACAGCATCATAGCAGCGGAGCCACATCAAAAAGGCAGGAGATTAAACAGCTTTTCTGTGACAAATGAGCCTGGTATGGCTGCCTGAATAGAGCCCTGTAATATACTCATAGTGTCTCACAGTAAACCCACTACAACAGCAGGCCTTCACTGAACCCACTGAACTGAAGTGCTTCACTCAGCAGAGGTCTGCAGCAGATCCAAACCACAGACCAAAATAGGCTTTGGGGGATGAAGGGGCCCCATCCACGAACGGGACTGAGCCAACATAACGGACCACTTACAGCCCTGCGTACGTGATTCACGGCTGAGTCACTGGCCAAACAGCAGGACAATTCCTAATTATTACAAGATTATTACAAAGAAATTACATCTTCCATGTAAGATGTAAACACGTTTCATGTCTGTGGGCTTCAACTCTGAGGAAAAACAATTTACTTCATGCCCCATGCCTCACTGAAGCTTTGCTATGGGTGTGGTAAAGAGTTAACATGCACTGGCAACTGCACATCGTATGTGCTGGGGCGGGGAACGGAACCGATCACGATCACGGGATCCGCCGGGGTGGGGAAACGGAACCGATCACGATCACGGGATCCGCCGGGGTGGGGAAACGGAACCGATCAAGATCACGGGATCTGCCGGGGTGGGGAAACGGAACCGATCATGATCACGGGATCCGCCGGGGAGGGGAAACAGAACTGATCATGATCACGGGATCCGCCGGGGAGGGGAAACGGAGCTGATTACCAGATGCACTAGGCTGTGGTAACAGAACAGATCAGGAAGATAGATCATGTTCTTGTGTGTGCAAATGTGTGGATGCCAGCAAGAATGTGTTTGGACAAATGAGGGTTGGGGGGGGCATGAACACATGTGCGGCCAATTGAGGAACGGTTGTACATATGAGCATCTCTGTATGTGTGTGTGCATGTGTGTGTGCGTGTGCATGTGTGTGCGTGTGCATGTGTGTGCGTGTGTGTGCGTGTGTGTGCATGTGTGTGTGCGCGCGTGTGTGTGTGCCCCCTGGCCCTTCCCCAGCGCCTCGACTGAAGCACAAAGGCCTGTTTATGGGCAGTAGCATGTGTCAGCGTGTCAGAGAAACCGCCAGGGGGAAATGATAGGGGGGGGAAACACTAAACCAACACAGCTGCCCTGAGAAAGCGCACATTCAGGGCCCCCACTCCGCACACCTCTCTGCCCCGCTCTGTCCGCACGCCGGGGCCCGGCACAGGCCCCCATTGTCCCCAGGAGCCAGCAACATGACCCAATTATGCAATTCTCAGAAACAAATTATTCCTAAGCGTCTCTCGAACGCAGGGACGTCCGTGTCGGCGTGTGCGTGTGGAGACGGGGGGGCAGGTCAAAGAAAACGAAACATTTCAGAATGGAAACAGGAATTGTGAAGACGCCTATTCATTCCTGAACGAACAATAACAACCTTCATGCTCTCAGAGAGCCGCACGGACAGATTTATACGGCGACTCGTTAAAGACAGACGCACTATGTCGACCTTCACAGTGGTTGACATTCAGGTGTGAGCACTCAGGCAAGCTGACTGAGGCTGTGCGATCAGACTTGTGTGCAACAACATTCATAAGCCGACCCAAAAAAAAAAAAAAACAACTTTAAAAACTGTTTTATGGTACCCACGCACACGATTCCACACACTACACATCTATCCACCTACCCATCCATCTATTCATGTTATAGTTGTATACCATTGCTTAACTCAAATCTTGTTTTTAAAATTCTAAAAGGCTGCCATTTTTAAATCTATCCTTCCTTTTTTCCTTTGTTAATGTTCTTCCTTTTTTTCAACAGTTTTCTATAGTACCAAGCCAATCTTATTTTTCATTTTGTTCATTCTATTCTATTTTTTAAAATGTATCTCAGTTTAATTCAGTTCAATTATAGTCAGTTAGCTCTACTCGAGAATACTTAAGATATGCTCATTATGAATGCCCACGTCAAAGTAAAGTCTGAGTAACAGGCATGGTGTTTCAATGTTTAGCTACACAAACGGCACTCCTACGCTGACTGGATGCCATTTGTCTGTCCTCCCCACCACTGCAGCATCAAACACCCAAACAATCTTCTATTTACACATCGTCGCTTTTACCACATGATCTTCAGATTCTACAGCGAGTCATTCAGTGGCAGCAGGGGAGACCAGGCTGTCCGAATGGACAAGAACCGCTTAGGCAGTCACAGAAAATGCGTTCGTCCACTGTGTAATACCACTGGGTAATACCACTGGGTAATACCACTGGGTAATGCATTTCTGATCCCATAGAATGGAATTATGTGCAATAATTTCCCTGCTGTCTATTAGTTTTTTGTTACTGTCAGTGTCTAAATGTCTTATTACTGTCTAAGTGTGTATTGAGTACAGTAAACATGCAATTTCCATCAGAATTACTAATCTATTTATCATTCATCCAGCCATCCATCATATTAATTAGCATAATATGATACTGAAGAATTCTGACAATAATGACTACATTTTTAAAATAAAAAAAAAAGAAATTCTCCAACTCCGCAGTGTTGTCAGAATTCAACCTCCCTGACCCCAAAATGTGTACAAGACGTATGAAAGTCCAAAGCGGCATCCCACCCGCAGTCCGGTTCTTTCCAAAAACACCACAGGAGAGACATTTGCCGCTTCTCACTGCTCCTTTGGCTCACCGAGGTACGGCGTGGAGATCCAAGTGCAGGGAGGTGGGAACACGGAGAGGACGGCGTGTGCGAGGCCGCAGGACAGGGTGTGCGAGAGAGGCTGCACACGGGAGCGGCCCGAATAGCTCACCATGCCCCCTCTGCACACGTGTGCATGCAATGAGTGAACGGGGCCCCGTTTGCGAGGGCCACCATGTATGAATCTGTGTGCCCTTGTATGTGTCCGGGAAGGCGGGTCTCACTGCCTGTTGCTGCGCTGCCATTGGGCAGCGATCCCAGATCAACAGCCAGGCCGTCCAGACAGACGGTCAGCTCTCCTCCCGCTACAACCAAGCCTTTGTTCTCCGTCTGCAGGACCAGACTAAGCTGGAGATTCTCCACTGAGAGGTAGAGAGGGAAGCAGAAAAAGACAGAGAGAGAAACGTCATATAAGCAGAGGGTGAAGTGAAGTGGGCCCTGTCTCACAACAACTTACTCATAAAAGCACTCGTGCGTGAAAACATCAAGAGACCAATTATTATAACCTAGACAGTTTTACAAAAATTTTGACTGGAAAAACACCTGCAGCTGTAAAAACTCTAAACAGTCAACTCCCTATTTCCCAGATTTTTACCTTCTAATATAATTCACAAACAACCATAATACAAAAAAAAATTATTAAAAGGTCCCACACTAACACACTGGCTTTCTCTGTAAGGGTACCAAAAGTACTTCAGCATCTGCATAATTATCTCTCAGGAGAACAAATCCACATAATGCATTCCTACAACTATTTCCTTATCGTGGCTGTATATCGAAGAACTGCTGGAAATTGCTTGAGGGAAAAGTGTGTGCGTGTATGAGTTTCACCATCTTTGCAAATCCTGAGAAAATGCCCTAGTAAAAACAGTAACTCACATTTCTATTTATTATCAGTTTTCACCCGATTAAGTTTTGCTGAAAAAGGGGTTAGGGATCCTTAACTGCTTCAGCCTAAGAGCATATGCTGCACCCTGACAGATATCACGAGTGTGTGTGTGTGTGCACTGACTCTTGCCGTCGTGCGAGCGCAGCGTGTCCAGCAGGTCGATGGTGGCACTCCCCAGCAGCTCCTTACGAAGCGTGTGGCAGCTCCAGACCTTCAGGTCCAGCTTGCTCTGAGGAGTGACATTCCTACACACGCAGATAACGCCGGTTTTGTCCACATGTGCATTCGGACATGGAGAGCAATCATCATGAGAATCGTAGAGATATTGTGCAGAATCCCAAAGCAGAGCACAGCTTTCTATCATGCAAACACATACTCTTGGCCTGCTAAGCTTTCAATAGAGTGTAGCAAAACTGTGCCTCCATCAACCACAGCTATTTATGACACGCTTTTAATACGGATACTGGCCGGAGGAGTCCAAGGCTCAAACCCTTGGCTAAAAGGCAACAGGTAAACAAAAAAACCGAACTGAAAAAACAGGCAGAGAGGGCACACAACACAATGTACAGAGAGATATCGGGTGGTCACGCCAGGAGACTCACAAGGTGAGGTCCTCGTTCCACTGCAGATCGGGGTGGCCGCTGCATTTGCCCGTCTTCTTCGTCTCACAGGTCAGGCCGTCGGGAATCACCTCCACAAAAGAGCTGAGGCGAGAGTGGCGGCTAGGCAGCTTGGGGGACTGTGGCCTAGCTGAGAGCACTGGGGGAACAGAGGAACACCGCTCATCACTGCCCTGCAGGAGGGCACAGCAGAGAGGCTAACATGACCAGCCAAAACAAACTCATTCGATATTTCCAGCCTGTGAAAAGTTTTAATATTTTACTGATCCACACATCTCTGTCATTTTGCCATCACTTGTGTTACACGTCTATCGCTATGGTCAGCGAGGCGTATTAGTAGGAAGAAAATAATGTTAACAGTGCCAAACAGTCATTCGAACGGAATAGAACACCTCCGTAACAAGGCACGCATGCGGATACACAGCTCCCCCTAGCGGTGCCTTTGAAACAAAGCGGTATGAGAAACGGAAATCGTTCTGTTTAACAATACAAAGCCTTAAATCTTAGCTTTTATGAAATAATATAAGTAACTTAACGGAGGAGGGAGATCCTTCCCTACTCTGTCACATCATATGTCAAAAATATTAACACAAAATGAGTGAGGGAAAGAAAACGACAGTTGGGTAGTTTAAGAGCAACTATACTGTAATAGTATATAAAAAAGTATATATATAAAGCAACGTATAAAGTGAAAAAGTCCAGAAACCAGAAGCAGAATGTGCAATGAGATGTAGGAGGCGTGTTGATTTTTTTACCTTTCAAAGTTAACGGTGACTTTTCTGTGTTCTGGGCGGCACCAGGTCTGCTCACGCTGGCCGCTGCCATGACGTCGGAGCCCTGAGACATGCGACGGCATGTTTACAGTCCCGAAAACCCCACGTCCTCCCCGGCCCCCTTCAGTTTCCCCATTCGTAAGACCACGCACAGCCATTAAACAGCACTATCCATACGTTGGAGACAATAGATAAATAGACGTCATTAGAGCTACGAAGGTGTCACAGCACCAAAATGAACCAATACTCATAATTACTACAGACCACAACCCTGCACTACATAAGCTCCTGTAAATGATGGATGGACGGATCACCGTGGCTCTAATAAACAAAAGTAAACACTCACCAACTCAGAATTTAATTGCATAATTAACGTGTTCAACTTCGCCCGTTATCGCAATTCCCAGTGGGTGATTATATAAACATAAAATGTCTTAAAGGAAAACGAAACTTACTTTCATGATTAGCACACCGAAGGCGCTGACAAAAAAAAAGTGAACGAGGATTTACAACAGGTATAGCGATATAATACCGATTACAACCGCAAATCATGAGATCATAGTACAGTACATCCACCATCTCCTGCCTGGTCTAATTACATTGTTAACGTAGGTTAGTGTCAGTTTACCTGATGCCAGAGCATTTGCATGTCTAAGACCAGTAATAATCAGCATATCTACTGCGAATTATGTTCTCACTTAAATATTTTGGCCAGTTTGCGCACTTCACTTCCTACATGCGTTACATTTGTGGCAGCCCAGCAATAACAACCAAAACCTAAGATATCGAGCGGAACCCAGCGACCTAAACACAAAAATCAATGTCCTCCATGGCACCTAAATGTACTGTCAGGTACCTGTTTATAAATGACGGTGCTGTCAGCGACGTGCAAGCACCGCGGCGCAGTTCCGTGATTTGGCCATTAAAGAGCAGGACAAAAACAAAAACAGAAAACCCTCAGCTTCTGGTGCTGCGTATGTACGAGGGTCGCCTGACAAGCGCCGTCCGTCAGTCTAAACGCAGGTGAAACCCCCAGACGCGACAAATAGTGCGTTTTCTCGAAATTAAACCGATGACCCCACTCGAACTCTTATTCAGATAGATGTTTATTTTACCGTACCTTATCTTCAACGAAGTCCACAGGCTCTAGCTAACTTTCATTTCCGCTTCAACGTCATGATCACGTGACGTGGTCGCCGGCGTCGCGGTGGATTGTGGGGAATAGCACTTTAATATCGAAAGTAAAGTCTGGGTAACTTGAAATTTCAGCTTTTTGGAAACAGTTAAATAAACACGAATGTTTTTTTGTTTCTGGTAAACTTTTGTGCGTTAAATTCACATTTTGAATAAATAGTTAACTATGTTTTCTCTTAGAATTCAGTGAGTTTTGTTCTCCACTCTTAGTGTTAAATATGACAGGACTAGAGACTACAGACACAAGCTCGTTCACAAATACCGATGAGAAACAGACAGATGTCATTTCGTGAGCACGTCCAGGTGGTGTTATGGTTCAGGATTAGGATTTAAAAGTCAATCGTGGATGGTTATATTTCTGGTTATGCAGCTCACAAAATACCCATAAGCATTCATTTCTCTTAATGTGCGTCCTGACTAAACTAAACTCTATGTCGCCGAAACTATGCATTAGCTGGTTTTGAAATCGCATGAGTACATATGGATATTTGACATCTCGATCGAGCTCGGAGTCGTGCCTTTTTTGTAAATATTTTCAGCCTTCTATTGAAATGCAGCAGTGAATTATTTACTTGCTTATTTTATACAAACTATATTTTAATACACACTCTTCTTTGGCTTTCTTGGACATTGCGGACACAATAAAGCATCGATCTATGCAGAACAGTCTTTGATTTTAGCAAGATGGCATTATAGAAATGAATAGGCTTCTGTCAGAGGGCAGGCTGTTTATTACAGAACAAAAATAGCTTTGCATGACACTTAATGGTGAATTTCCTGAAGAGAGCACATTTCAAACTGTAGGAAAACCAAACCATTCATACCCATACGCAGAAACATGGTGAAAATGAATGCCTGAATTCCTGAAAATGTTGACACTGAAATGGGACGTCCTCATTAGTCTTGAGTGTCAGGTAATAAAGTAAGGAGGCCTAGCAGTTTTGGGTCGGGTGCTTTCCATGGGTCAGAGTTGGGGTCCTGTTAATGCAGTTGGAGTAAGGAGGGTCACATTAAGTTTGGTCACAGAAGGCTCCAATGGGGCTGGGAATGGTGGCCCATATAGTAGTCGTGGAAGTACATCATCACTGCCAGCGGTGGGCCCAGCAAGAGACAGAGCCACACAAAGCCGTTGCCATAGTTACCAGTGAGGTGGTGTCCTAGGAACTTGGCCACCAGGAGCTAAATGGGAGGTAAAGGGGGGTTGCAAATTAGTCGTCGTGGACACAGTAGCTTTCACCTGCACATATAGCCAGTCCTCAGGACAGCACCAAGAACGGCCTACAAGATACCTCAGAGTTCACCCTGAGCAAGTCAGTACTGATTAAATAGATGCCCACCTCCAAAATCATCAGGAAAAATATCCAGAAACGGCAGGTCCGCAGGGACAGAGCAATGACATACTGCAAAGGAGAAGCAAGGAACAAGTGTATAAATAGACGACAGGCCGAAAACGCTCAGTGTTTTTTTTTTGCAGGTTCAACTCTATGTCATCTCACTGTTTCTCGTGACGATTGCCTGAGTAAACAAGCTGTTTTCAGAATTAGTGTGGACCAATAAAACAGTTGCATCACTGAAAGCAGCTGGAGCTGTTGTCCTTCTGTTATTGCTAATTGTGTTTCTGCATCGTTGAATATTTCCAAGAAAAGTCTTGCTTCATTCTCCCCCTGTAATTATTATTTTCATGTAGAAGAATCACATGCTAATCTTGCTTAGATTCCAGATAACTGCAAG